TGTTAGATTGTATAAAAATAGAGGGCTTTCCTGGTGGCTCAGTGGTAAAGAATCCACATGGCAATGCAGGAGACACAGGTTCGATCCCTGGTCTGGGAGGATGACACATGCCATGGAGCAGCTCAGCCCATGTGCCACAACTACTGAGCCCACGTGCTGCACCTGTTGAAGGCTCATGCCCAAGAGCCCATGCTCTACAGTAAGAGAAGCCACCTCAAGGAAAAGCCCTCACACCACAGCTAGAGTAGCCCCCACTCTCCACAACTAGAGAAAAGCCCACGCAGTCACACAGACCTAGCACAGCCAAAAATAAATAAAAATAACATTTTCCCTTTAGTTGTTCCCTGGATATGGAGAGCCTTTTCCCCCATGGAGGCGCTCTCTATAGCCCTTGGCCTGGGGCTGTCTAAGATGTCTTTTTCCCCAGGGAAGATCCTCCACAGACCCTCTCCGTCATTCCTCTTCCTCTCCCCGTCCCTGCCCCTAGGAGGAGCTGACTCTGTGTGGCTCTCGGCTGCTGGCTCTGGGCTTCTTCCTGATCCTGTTCTGTGGCCTCTGCTGTCTCACTGCTGCGTGCTTCCATCCGCGCCGGGAGTCCCACTGGTCTAGAACCCGGCTCTGAGGGCTCTGGCCTAGTTCCCGTCTTGTTCTCAGGTAAGGTTCTTTGACTCAGTCCTGTACGAATAGGGGATGAGGTGGGGGTGGCAGTTCTGAGATAGAGCCATTCCTAAACAATACGGTTTGGTTTTACCTATTTCTATACTCTATACAGATGGAATCATACACATCCTTCTGTGACTGACTTCTTTCAGTTAATATTCTGACTTTAAGATTCATAGCTGTAGTTCATGTCCAAGCTTTTTGGCAACAGTGGTGAATTAAGAGGGTTGAAATTTGATGATGTGCCCTGGATATAAATCCTACTTGTCTTGCTTTTTTCATGAAATTCTGATGCCAGTTTTATGATGTAAATTTGGTGAAATTCATCTCGAGCTGCTCAAAAGGATTGATGATGCCCGTTTACTAGACACATACTATGTGCCCGAGTACTTCACATGCACCTTCTCTTTTACATTAGCCATCATTGCATTTAGAAAAAGTTCTGCCAACAGGATCTTTGGAGGGACACTGCCTCCAAAGTGAGGGTGGGACATATTGGCTAGCTAGTGTGCTCTCTCATTAAGGTAAAAAAATTCTGTAAAAAATCTCATCTTTTCAGGTGAGTCTTATATATAATTTGAGAGTCATTTTATCGTGTACCCAGCTCTTAAACCGTTTTCAGCTTCGGCTGGCTGCTGTGCCCTAGGAAGCCCCTGTGGGAGAAGAGGAAACAGCCCAGGCCGAGGGAAGAGCGCTAACCAGAGGATCTGGGCCTTTACCATCAACTTTGCTTATCTTGCTTAGGGCTAGGCCTGACTACTGCAATCGCCTACTTGGGTTGGGAAAAGGTGAAACCCTCTCAGCCTTTCTTAGATCTGAGCAGATTGGGAAAGGAAGGCTTTCTGGCTCCTGGCTGGTCCTGGGGTCCTGAGGCCATCTCACTTGGAATAAATCCCTGTGCTTATCTCTAGTTGTCATTTCCTCTGCTCCTTCGTCAATTTCTGCAGCCATCCCAGAGCTTCCTCCAAGGGCCCTCTGACCTGCCCTATCTTTTTTCTTTCTTTCCAGGAGTGGATCAACTTCTTGGGCCTTGATTCTGACTTGGAAGAGATGTTACAAAAAGTGGAGAGCTGGAATATGGGAGGAAATAAAAGGCTTTTTTGCTCAGTGTTTTCCGGGGTGTTGATTGGGGGTTGGAGGTGGGAATTTTAGGGTAGGAAGGCTAGGGAGGTTTGGGGATTTTTCCTTGTTGACTCATTAGGTTAGGGAACAGGTTTAAGGCATAGATTACTGCAGTTCTTGAGTGTGGTCGTGGAAATGGATTGACATAAATGCAGCGTGACCTTGTGCAGGTCATGGTGCTGTGGAGGGTCTCAGTCTCCTGATGGGATTTGACAGACTGAGTTTTCCTAGCAAAGATTCCTCGATTGGGAGCCCACGCCCATGCTGGATAGTTACTAACCAGGGCAGTCCGTTTTCCCGCCTTTTCCGCGCCCAGCGGCAGTCTTCCCTTACTCCTCCCAACCTCTACCCTGCACGCAAGCGCAGATCACGGCTTCTCATTTCCTTCCACCCGCGCCCCCTCGAAGCTTCCCCTAGCAACAAGCTCAGGCTCCGCGCTAAGGCGGGGCGAACGCATGCGCCGCATCCCTTTCCACCACCAGTTGTCGGACTGCGCGCTGGGCTCCTCCCTCTCTAAGACTAACCCTTCTCCCCGCCTCCTCCCACCCAGGGTCCGCGTGGCGGGGCGCGCGCGCACTCTGGCTGGGTTGCTGCCCAGCTCTGGCAGCAGCAGTAAGGGGAGAGGGGCGGGGCTGCTTCCTTTGGGGCCCCGCCCCCCTTGGCCCGGCGTCCTTACGGCGCTTGCGCGCTCCCGCCCGGTCTCCATCTTGGAATTGGGAGGAAGAGGGAGAGGGAGACCGGGACGAGACCAGGGCTGTGGTGCGGAGAGAGGCTGAGACTGAGAAGAGGAGAGGGAGAGAGGGCACGGGGACCGCCCTTCGCTACAGTCTTTCAGCTATCCTCGGGAGAGAGAAGGGGAAAGGGAGGGGGCTGGGGCGGGAGTGGGGGCTGTCACCCTCGGACCCCGGCGTGAGAGGGGCCGTGCGGTCGGACGTCCTCGGGTAGGCCCCCTGTTGGTGGCGGAAGACTTGGGGCTCAGTCCCCTGGTCCCGAATTTCCGGGCTTGACCCCGCGCTTCTCAGATATCCGGGTATCAGCCCCTGAGATTCCAGATATCCGGGACTAGGGTCCCAACCTCTCTAAACCTGGGGCTCTGTTTCATAGGATTTCAAAAATCTGGGATTCAGGACCCTGCGCGCACCAGTGTCCAGGGTTCATTCCCCACGAATTCAGATATCAGATTCAGCCTCCCCCTGTTCACATATCTGGGGTTCAGACCCCACAATCAGAAATCCGGGATTCAGCAACTGTCGCCCTCGAGGAGGAGGAGGACTGGACCGCGAGGTCAGATCAGGTTGTCACCCCCTCCCCTCCAGGGGAGGCTTCCCGGGCCCGCCCCTCAGGAAGGGCGAAAGCCGAGGAAGAGGTGGCGAGGGGAAAGGTCTCCTTGCCCCTCTCCCCGTTTGGCAGAGCCGCTGGAGGACCCCAGGAGGAAGCGGAAGCGCTGGGGCACCACAGTGACCCCTACCAGGTGAGACACGGGGTGCAGGGCCGCGGGTCCCTGTGTCTAGCTTGAGAAGAAAGGGTGCTGCTTTCTGGGAAGCTGGGCCTGGGTAGACACTCTCCTCGGGATGGGGAAGCCAGCTGAGCCAGTGGTCAGCCTCTGGCTAGTCTTGGCTTCTGCTGCCACCTTCTTCCCCTTTCTCTTCCCCTCCTTATATCTAGTTGATGGGGGACCTCAGATGACAGGGTCTGTCATGTCAGCCGGGGTCACGCCCTACAGTCCTTGAGCTAATCAGATGGATTTGCACCCTTCTGGTCATCTGCCTGTTCACTTTGCCCCTCACAGCTGCCCCTTCATGATTGTGACTCTCTTTCCTTTGCGGTGTTAATTCCCAGATCTCTGCTCCCCGTGGTGGGTCTGCTTATCTGTTCTTTAGGCTTGGTCTGGTTGGGTTTTTTTGTCCTTTCTAGGAAGTGTATGTGTACATTTGTGTTTGGGGGTTCTTGGCAGTATTTCCCCTCACCTATTATTACCTTCCAACCTCTTGATGTGATGGTATAAGTAATCTCGTTTGTCAGAGGATTTATCATTTACAAAGTGCTCTAGGTCCATTCTCATGCTCTCTCTCCTCCCATTCATCTGGTGGGAGGCTGTTTTATTGCTGTCTTCCCATTTTACAGTTGAGCATATTGAGGCCCAGAGAGGTTGCCCAAGATCACACAGTGGCAGAATCAGGATTTGAACTCAGGTCCTTGATCAGGTCTTGCCCGTGTGCCATACCTGTCTCTTGTCACCTCTTTTCTTCTATTCCTAGGTTTAGCCAGGGGTCCAGAGTAGAATGGGTTGGGGTGGGATTTAAGAATGGGAGGGAGGAGAACTTCCTGTCCTCAGCCTTTTTCTGAGGGTTGTTCTCAGAACCTTTCCTGATGGGAGGCTCTGGCTCCTGCCTTCTGCCTCATGGATTTCTGTCTCTACTGTGACCTTCATCTTTACCCTGAGCCCAGTCTTTGGCCTGGGTTCCTAAGAGGGCTGTGTCTCGACAAATGATAGTGATGTCTCTTAACAGTTAAAGCCAACCAAGCTGCCAGGGGGTAGAATGATCCCCAAAGTATTTAAGCCTTGTGGTGATGACTCTGGAGGCAGGGAAAGAAAAATCCATATGCTGAGTGTCTGCATAGTGTTCCTGAGTATGAGATCTCATTTAAAATTTCACAACAGCTCCACACTGTAATCCGTTTTACTGAAAAGAAGACCAAGTGTTAAGGAACTTACTCAAAGCCCTGTTGCTGTCCACTGTAGATGAAATGCATTGGTAATGTAGCTTAGAGTGGACAGGCTTGGGTTTCCTCGTCTCTCGCATGGAGGTAACATTGTCCATCTTAGAAGGTAGTTATGATTTAGCACAGACTTGGTAATCACTCAGATGTTTGTAATTTGCGGTGTTTTGCAGGGATCTCTTATATGTGACCTGGGGTGCTTGGTTGGCATTCTTGGCTGGGTGCTGGTAAAGAGGTCAAGAAGATTCCTTTGGCAAGTTGTGAGCACCTGCCTTTGTGTGTGGGTGTGTGGTGGGGGTGAGGGGTGCTTGGCAGGGTTGCTGGCAGGAGAATGGAGAACAGGGCCTGGGAGCTGCTTGGGACTGGGCTGAGGGCAGTCAATCAATCTCCCAGGCTATTCTGAGCCCTCTGCACCCTGGGGGCCCACCAGAGAGTCAGGCTTACTTCTTGCCCTCCAGCTTCCAGTTGGGCTGAGGAGACAAAATTAACAACACAACAGGAAACAATGCACAACAGAATATAATTACATGCTAAATTGTTAGGTGCTTTTAAGGAGCTAGAACTCTGCCCTGGGAGTCCAGTGCCACTGAAAACTCCTTTGTACCTAAATTCCAGCAAGTGCTTATCCAGGCGACTGACCTAGAATCCCCTGGGGGCTGGGGGTCTTGACTGATGTATTGCTGGAGTTTTCGATATTTTTTTGACTGTGGACTCTAGAAGCTCTCCCCAAGAGCTGAGGTAGTCAGGGAGGCTTCCTGCAGGAGGGGACTGAGCTGGGGTGAGTTTTTGAGAGAGTAAATAAGTACATAGGCCTGACTGGAGAGAAGAGCCTGTTCGCTGGCCTTGGAGAAGTCCTTTCTTTCTGTGCCTCAGCGATCTCATCCGTGAAATGGTGATAACGCTCCTTTCCTTTTTGTTGTATAGGGCTGTTAAAGTAGATAGGGGTAATAGTAACACCTTATAAGGTTGTGAGGGTTGAATGAGATAATGCACAGAAGGTGCTTACTACGCATGCTCAGTACCTCTTTGTGCAACCAGTGTCCTGTACGTGTGTGATGGGTATGCCATAGGGCTGGACAAGTAAGGCAGCCCAGATTGCAGGCCCACTGAGCCAGATGCCATTTCTCTCCGTCCTCCCGTTCTGGACCTCCTGCCTGCCACGGCATCCCTGGCCCTTTTTGAGAGTGAGCCTCCTGGCCCCTGTGGGCCAGTACCCACTTGTAACAATGGCCGGATTTCCACTGCCTCCGGCCTGGCTGTTTCCTGCTCTCTCCCAGAGTGTGAGAGGTTGAGGGAGGAGGGGGCCTCCACGCCAAGGGGAACGGGAAGGTGCCTGGAAATATTTGGGGCATGGGACTTGTGGGACAGGACACTTGGGGACATGGGGCTCTAGCTGGGAGGCAGAATCTTTATTCTTGAGGGGAGATTTAGAGGTTATGAGGAAATGAAACTTGTTGAGGGCTGAGGGTGTTGTTGAAGATGCTGAACTCCCAGTCTTCCTGCAGTTTTAGGGACTTCAGGGACCCAGCCCCCCGTACTCTGGTTGCCAGAGCAACTTCATTATTTATTTATTTTTTTGAGCTTTGATGTTCCTAATCTCCCCCTGCCCTTCCTTAGTAGTGCCTCCGCCTCGTCGGAACCAGGGAAGAAGGCAGAAACTTGAGGGACTGGCTCCTTTCTCTCTCTGAGGGCCTGGTCTTTGTTCTAAGGGTCCCTTCTCTTCATCAGGTCAAGCCCCACTCTCAGGGCCCCCAGGGGCCACCATGCCAGCTGGGGGCCGGGCCGGGAGCCTGAAGGACCCCGATGTGGCTGAGCTTTTCTTCAAGGATGACCCAGAAAAGCTCTTTTCTGACCTCCGTGAGATTGGCCATGGCAGCTTTGGAGCTGTGTACTTTGTGAGTTAAAGCTTGGGAGGGTGGGGTAGGGACTGTCTCCCCACTGTGGACCTCCAAACAGCCCTGTGTGCTCCTGTCCTCCACCACACCAACCTCTCCTGCCCTCTCCTACTGGGCCAGCAAGTCTTCTTGCTGCCCAGTGCTTTCTGGGGGCCTTCACTACCTGCTGGTCTGGTCCTTAGGCCCGGGATGTCCGGAATAGTGAGGTGGTGGCCATCAAGAAGATGTCCTACAGTGGAAAGCAGTCAAATGAGGTAGGCTGAGCTTGACAGACTGGGTATGACACCAAGGACCCCAGTCTTAAGATACAGACTGAGTAAATCTCTCCTCCCCTTTCTTACCTTCTCTCAGAAATGGCAGGACATCATCAAGGAGGTGCGGTTCCTACAGAAGCTTCGGCATCCCAATACCATTCAGTACCGGGGCTGTTACCTGAGGGAGCACACAGCTTGGGTGAGCTAGGCCCCGACTCTGCCCTCATCATCTTTGCCAGTACTCAGTGATCCTTATCCTGGTCTAGTCTCTGAGGTGGGCCCTATTCCGGGTGTGTCATGCAGATCTTGGGAGGGAGGAAATCTCTCCCAACCTCTTTAGTCCTCAGACAAACTCATAAGTCATATTGTGCATCCAGAGGGAGAGGCTGAAGAGTGTCATAACCTGTTAGCAGTTGAAGTGGGGCACGTGAGCTGGAGGAGCAGGAGATTGAATGATGGGATTCAGCTGCTGGTGTTAGTGATGTCTTGGGCTCTTTCTAAAGGAGGGCCTAACTCCAGGGACTTCCCCCACCTTTTTTGTTTTCTCAGTTGTCCTTTCTCCCTGTTATCACCCCGGGGGGTTTTGCTTGAGTAGTGGCTAGGCAAGGAAGCCCTCTGTTTTGGATCCCTCCCCAAGCGAGCTAGGCCAGGGGTGGCCAGGTCTGCTGATCTCTGACCCTTGACCCTTCCATAGCTGGTGATGGAGTATTGCCTGGGTTCAGCTTCTGACCTTCTGGAAGGTAAGTGATTCTTTGGCCAACAAGTGGGAGAAGGGAGAAGAGCAGAGAAGCTGTAGGGGACGGGTAAAGGGGAAGTAGTTCCAGCCCCACCCTGAACTCCCTCGTTTGATGGTTTTCCTTTACTCCCCAGTGCACAAGAAGCCCCTTCAGGAGGTGGAGATTGCAGCTGTGACCCACGGGGCCCTTCAGGGCCTGGCTTATCTGCACTCCCACAACATGATCCATAGGTACGAGCAGCACTGGTGATGGCTGGGAGGGAGGGAGTGCCCTGTATACCACCCCTCCTTGTGCTGGGCTGTAGTCTTCTTGGCCAAAGCCCCTGCCCAGCAGCCTGCCTGAGATGCGTGTCTTACCCCTGTGCTTTGCCTTCGGCAGGGATGTGAAGGCTGGAAACATCCTACTGTCAGAGCCAGGCTTGGTGAAACTGGGGGACTTCGGCTCTGCATCCATCATGGCACCCGCCAACTCCTTCGTGGGCACCCCGTACTGGTGAGCGGGAGTGGTGGCGAATGGAGAGAGCTCTTGGGGTGTTGGGAGCAGGAGTTGGCAGGGTCTGGGCGGGTGATTAGCCTCTCTCTCCTGACCATTCTCCCAGGATGGCTCCAGAAGTGATCCTGGCGATGGATGAGGGGCAGTACGATGGCAAGGTGGATGTCTGGTCCTTAGGCATAACCTGCATCGAGCTGGGTAAGGACATNTCTCTCCTGACCATTCTCCCAGGATGGCTCCAGAAGTGATCCTGGCGATGGATGAGGGGCAGTACGATGGCAAGGTGGATGTCTGGTCCTTAGGCATAACCTGCATCGAGCTGGGTAAGGACATTCACCTCTGCTCCTTTATCCTCTTTTCTCTCCACCCCTTTCTTTTTTTCTTACTTTATCCCCACACTGTCCCATCCTCTGAGGCTTCCAGGCACCTGTCCATTTTGAGGACCCTTGATCCCCAGTACAAGCAGCTGTCAAACCCTGCCATTTCTTAGACCAAAAGATTTCATAGCATTCATCTTTTGCACTATGCTAGTTCTAAATCTTTTTTTGAGCGCCCACTGTGTGCCATGCACTGTGCTAGTAGGTTCTGAGGGTATAGCAGTGAATGAGGTTCCTGCTTTCTTAGAACTTACATTCAAGTGGGGGAAGTAGGTATTTTTTCTGTCTATGTGAAAAAAGCTGAAAAAAGCTGAATGGAAATGATACAGGAACAGTACAACCAGAAAACAAGGGACTTGACCTAATTAGGGGCTGAGGAAGGTCTTCTTGTAGCAGAGATGTCTAAACAGAACCACACGACAAATAATAGGTAACTGTTGGAAGACTTGTAGAGAAAAGCAGCATTACAGACAGAGAATGAGGAGCAGGCCTGGGGAGCTGAGACTAGCTTTAGTTGGTGGCAAAGAGCAGTGAGTGATAAGGCCAAAGAGCTCGGTTCAGTGAGTTCATGAGGTCTTGAAGCCCTGTTGAGGTTCTCTTTTCTGCCAGCCAATGATATTGCAACAACTGTTTTAGGGAGAAAATATTTGTAAGCACACCCCCACCCCCACCCCAATACACACACAAGTACCAGGCACAAAATAGGTGCCCAAGAAAGAGATGCTTTTAGTTACTCTCAACAACAACTTCCTGTCATGCTCTTTCCCACTGCCAGTCTCTTCTTCCTTCCATTCTCTTTTACATCAGAGATGTGCTGTTGTTTTCTCTCCACCTCAGATCCTCCCTGTTGCCTTCAAGACTGAAGCCATCCCCGTTCTTACTTACACCAAGTTTAAGGCTCTTGCTTCCTAAAGGCTGGCTTTCCCCTTTACAAGCTCCACCCCTAAGTGTGCTATGAATATTTCCTCTTAATTACCTTTGTACCCTGTCCTTGGCCTGAGGTTGGAGATTTGGACTTGCCTTTTCCTCTATCTACACAGTTACCGTTTAAGGCCATGAACAGATAGGCGATGGAAGTATGTGAAGCAGGCCAGTATAAGAAAAATCTAGAGCTATCCATTTTATTGCTAATTTTTGGTACAGAAATGTGCACAGAAAACTATATTATAGAAAAAAAAAACATCAATCTTGATTGTAAATGGCAACTGATGACTCAGTTGGTGTCAGAGAAGTAGTATGGAGGGAGACTAAGGCAAACTGGAGGTTGCTGTTCCCAGGAGAACAGGCAGCTCTATTGTTTAGCTCCAGCCCATTGTTATGCAGGAATGTAGGCTTCATTTTACCAGATCTAATTTTTTAAAAAAAGAAACTGGAAATTTAAGTTATTTCATTGCTAGTGTCAGAATTTAAAAATCATTGTTGAGGCCCAAACCAAAACAATACAAAACATTTGTCTGGGCCACAAGGGGCTTCTTGCTTGCAACTTCTGAACTAAGGCCTATCTCCATTATTCCTTTTTCCAAACAAGCTTCCCTGAAACCCCTGCAAATGGACCAACTTGAAGGCCTGGCTTTCCACCCATTTACTGTTTTGCTCTTAGGCCAGTTATTAGCACTTTGAACTTGATGTTATTCGTTCAGTCTCACTTAACCTTCTCTGTTAGACTGAAAATTCCTTGAAAACAGGGCCTGTCTGTTTATCTTTTCCAGTACCTACACAAGTGTTTTGCTCTCATTGGGCATCTGGTAAATACTGGGCTGGCAAGTGAATGTCTTCCCTCTGCCTTTGTTGGTGCATTTGTGTGTGTTGTTTTCTCTGATCTCTGTTCTACCCACGTGCAGTGGAAAGGCTGGATGTTGCATCTTAAGAGAGGAAGGAATTGATTCAGGTTATGGGAATTGCTTAGGTTCAGGGAATGAGGAAGTCGGGGAGCGGGGGTGTGGACCACAGTCTTCTGATTTCAAGTTTAGTCGCCTCTGCCCACCTGCCACCTCTCACCTTCTCCCCCTTTACCTTTTTCTGTAGCGGAACGGAAACCACCACTGTTTAACATGAATGCGATGAGTGCCTTATACCACATTGCACAGAACGAGTCCCCCGTGCTTCAGTCAGGACACTGGTGAGGACTGGGGTTTCTGGGCCCAGGGGTTAGGCCACAGGGGTAAGGCTGCCTGACTCATGCCCTCCCCACCCTACCCTTACCCTCCTGTGACTTCTAGGTCTGAGTACTTCCGGAATTTTGTCGACTCCTGCCTTCAGAAAATCCCTCAAGACAGACCAACCTCAGAGGTTCTTCTGAAGGTGAGGGCTCACTGACATAGCATTCTCCTAGAACTGAAATTTGTTGGAATCACAGAAATCCCTCAGTGAAAGTAGAGATTCCTGGTTCTTCCTCTACCAAGAACTTCATTTATGAATTCCCACATCCATCCCCAGTGCCCAGTGGACTCTGTTTTGCAAGAGTTTATCTAGGAGACTGCCTTTATTAAGTGATAATTTGTTTTCACGTCTTTCATTAATCAAAGATATATATAATTGCAAGTCAGAGCTTCTCATCAGCGTGCGATAACCAGGGTTACCACACTGATCTAATATAATTTAAGCCAGAAGCCTATGTAACCTTGTCGTGGGTAAATGTATGATTTCCCTAGGTGTTTTTCAAGTTATCAAAAATAGAGGGGCCCCCATTCCTCCAGAGATCCACGGGGCCCTAAGACCCCTAGTTGGGAACTGTCTAGTTTGACCCACTTATTTTATAATTGTGGGATGCCTTGTGAGGCCCAGAGAAGCCTCATGACATGTCCAGGGGCACAGAGTACTTTGAAGACCTGGACTAGAATCCAGATCTCTGGCTGTTCTCACCTGGAGGAACAAGAGTGTCTGGGGAGTAGAGATTGGGTGGTAAAAATTAATGTGGGAGGAGGGCTAGGGACAAGGCCAGCATCAGCCTATGGTGGGCACGGACCCAGGGGAGTGCCTCAGGCCAGAGGGAATGCCAGGATCCATGGGATGTTGGGGTGCGGGGGTGCTTGGCAGCAGGTCTCGGTGTTCTCTTCCCCCAGCACCGCTTTGTGCTCCGTGAGCGGCCACCCACAGTCATCATGGACCTTATCCAGAGGACCAAGGATGCTGTTCGGGAGCTGGACAACCTGCAGTACCGCAAGATGAAGAAGATACTGTTCCAGGAGGCGCCCAATGGCCCTGGCGCGGAGGCCCCAGAGGAGGAGGAGGTGACCCAGGGTGCCCTGCCACCATCTTCATCACCATGTTGTACTTGCCTCTGAGCAGCTGCTTGGTCCCGCTCCCCCACCCCTCTTCATACCCTCTGTCTCCGTGTACACTTGCCTTGCCCTTCGCCTTCCCTTCCCAACAGCCCATGTCCTGTCCACAGGAGGCAGAGCCCTACATGCACCGGGCTGGGACGCTGACCAGTCTAGAGAGTAGCCATTCGGTGCCCAGCATGTCCATCAGCGCCTCTAGCCAGAGCAGCTCAGTCAACAGCCTGGCAGATGCCTCTGATAATGAGGAGGAGGAAGAGGAGGAGGAAGAAGAGGAGGAGGAGGAAGAAGGCCCTGAAGCCCGGGAGATGGCCATGATGCAGGAGGGGGAGCACACAGTCACCTCCCACAGCTCCATCATCCACCGGCTGCCGGTATGCAGCTCTCCCTGAGTAGGCTTGACAGCCACAGGGCCCTGCTCCAAGTGTGACTGGGTCTTCAGGGAACTCTCTCTGGACCCTCTGACCTCTGAGACTTGGGCATTCCTTCCACCTTCTCTTCCTCTAGGGCTCTGATAACCTCTATGATGACCCCTACCAGCCAGAGATGACCCCAGGGCCTCTCCAGCCACCTGCAGCCCCAGCTCCCACCTCTACCACCTCTTCTGCCCGCCGACGGGCTTATTGCCGCAACAGGGACCACTTTGCCACCATCCGTACTGCCTCCCTGGTAAGCACAGCCATCCTGGGTAACCCCCTCCCCCAGACTATTTAAGTTCAGAAATGGCTTTCTCCCTGTGGGGTGTGATTAAGTCCAGATTCCAGACTCTTGTCTGTTGCTATCACGTCCTTCTTACCTCGACTGTCTCACCTAAATCCTCCCCTCTCGCCTCCCTTCTCTCAGTAGACTGTTTCAGTCACGTTGCCCAGCTCTCACCCTGTCTTTGTGGCTAGACTTAGACAGCATCTCCTGGTGTGTCTTCCCAGGCTCCTGGCGAGCCAGGTGCCTCATGTCCTGTGCTGTGATGCTCCTGAACAGCATTGTGACAGGTCTGCTGGATTCTGTGCCCCTAGAGAGCAGAGATGATGTACAGGTATCTGCCTGTACCAGTAATTGGCTTGCGGGCCCCCACACCTGCCTGTATTTAATCCAGCTTTTCTGGGAGGGTGAGGATATGATTCCATTTAAGAGATGACATAGTTGTGACTCAGAAGGGCTCCCTTTGGTAGTTCTCAAATTCTGTAACCAGTATCTTGGTCCTCTCCTAAAATAAAGGCATGGCGTTTTAGTTTTTTTTTTTTTTCTCAGCTCACAGGAAAACTATGTTTTTGTCTATAATTTTAGTAGACTTTTAGACTACGTTCTTATTTAGCTGTGTCGACAGTCCTCTTGGAGGCCATTGGTTGGTCTGTTACGTTCTTTTACCCTCTGCTTACAACTGGTTGTTCTGCTAGGGGAACTCTTCAGACCCTCTGATGCTTGGTGCTTTGTGATACTGTGCAGGAGGTCTGGGACTTGCAGCGATTTGGCCACCTGGACTAGTTTGGAGCCGTTGACATAGCCTTTGAACAATGGCATCTGAGTTCAAACTACAGATGAGGGCATCCAGGTCCAGTGTTCTTGTCATCTAGAGCCCATGGTCTCTATTCTGCCTCCATACCTGGGCTATAAATGGTCTTCAGTGTTTGCTGAAAAGGAAGGAACTATCACTTTTCTAGTTCAGAGTGTTCTAGATACTATTACATAGGTATCAAACTTAATCGCCACAGCCCCGTATGAGGAGGTGTTATTGTCTCCTGTAACAGAACTGAGGCTTAGCAGCATTAACTTTCTTGAAGTCACATGGTTAGGAAGTGGCAGAGCTGGAGGTCTGGGCCCAGGTCTGTCTTGATTCTTTTACTCTTTTCAGTCATTCTGAATTGTCCCTACTTTTAGGTAAAACCCTGTGTTCAATCCCTTTTCTTGTCTGATGCGGTCACACCAACCCATGAGGGAGATGATGTCTCCATTCTCCAGTAGAGGTGGCAGGCTCAGAGAGGTTAAGTGAGGAAGGTACCAAATGAGAATTAAACCCTTGCATCAAAAACTCATGTTCTTGCCCATACAGCACGAAGACTGTGTGTGTGTTAATAACACGGGCACCAGAGCTGCTCCCCACTCCTCATCCTTTCTCCCTCCCCAGGTCAGCCGTCAGATTCAGGAGCATGAGCAGGACTCAGCCCTGCGGGAGCAGCTGAGTGGCTATAAGCGGATGCGACGACAGCACCAGAAACAGCTGCTGGCGTTGGAGTCACGGCTGAGGGGTGAGCGTGAGGAGCACAGTGCGCGGCTGCAGCGGGAGCTCGAGGCACAGCGGGCTGGCTTTGGGGCTGAAGCCGAAAAGCTGTCCCGGCGGCACCAGGCCATCGGGGAGAAGGAGGCGCGAGCCGCTCAGGCCGAGGAGCGGAAGTTCCAGCAGCACATCCTTGGGCAGCAGAAGAAGGAGCTGGCCGCCCTGCTGGAGGCGCAGAAACGAACCTACAAACTGCGGAAGGAGCAGCTGAAGGAGGTGGGTTTGGGCTGCAGCTGTGGGTGGGGTTGGTGGGGGGTGAGGCAGACCCTGACCCCCTGGCTCTCCCACTGCCCTTTCTTAGGAACTCCAGGAGAACCCCAGCACCCCCAAGAGGGAGAAGGCTGAGTGGCTTTTGCGGCAGAAGGAGCAGCTACAGCAGTGCCAGGCAGAGGAGGAGGCTGGGCTGCTGCGGCGGCAGCGCCAGTACTTTGAGCTGCAGTGTCGCCAGTACAAGCGCAAGATGCTGCTGGCACGTCACAGCCTAGACCAGGACCTGCTACGAGAGGTAGGCCTCCCCCTCCCCCAGTCGCCTCCCAGGTCCCAGACTCCTGCCCTGTTTCATTTGCCTCACTTGGGACCATCTTTCCTCTTTGCTCTCATTCATGTTGTGGGTCAGCTTCTCTTCAGCATCTCTGACTTCTCATGCCCACCAGACCCTGCTCCAGCTCCAACCTGCCAGGAGTTTGGCACCCTTTCCCCTTTCATCCACACCCCTCATCTCCCCACCCTCAGTTCCCTTACCAAGGAGTCCTGGGGCTCCCATTTCCTTGACACTCACAAGGCTTCCTAACCCCTTTCTGGGCCCTGCCTCCCTTTTGCCTCAGGACTTGAACAAGAAGCAGACACAGAAGGACTTGGAGTGTGCATTGCTGCTGCGGCAGCACGAGGCCACGCGGGAGCTGGAGCTCCGGCAGCTGCAGGCTGTGCAGCGCACTCGGGCTGAGCTCACCCGCCTGCAACACCAGACGGAGCTGGGCAACCAGCTGGAGTACAATAAGCGGCGTGAGCAGGAGTTGCGGCAGAAGCACGCGGCCCAGGTTCGCCAGCAGCCCAAGAGCCTCAAAGTACGTGCAGGCCAGCGTCCCCCGGGCCTCCCGCTCCCCGTTCCTGGGGCTGTGGGACCACCTAACACAGGCGCCCTTAGAGAAGAGCAGCCCTGCTCACCTGGCCAGGAGGCGGTCCTGGACCAAAGAATGCTGGGAGAGGAGGAGGAAGCGGTTCCAGAGAGAAGGATTCTGGGGAAGGAAGGGGCTGCCTTGGAGCCAGAGGAGCAGAGGATACTTGGGGAAGAGTCAGGAACTGTTAGCCCCAGTCCACAAAACCATGAGAGTTTGGTTGATGAGGAGGTTTGGGGGCTACCTGAGGAGGAGACAGGGGAGCTTAGAGTGCCATCCCCAGCACCGCAGGAGAGGAGCATTGTGGGCCAGGAGGCATCGGTGGAATGGAGGTTGTGGGGGAAGGAGGATGGCAGCCTCTTGGGTGAGGAGTTTGAGCTTGACTGGGTCCAGGGTCCAGCACTGACCCCAGTCCCTGAGGAAGAAGAGGAAGAGGAGGAGGGGGCTCCATTTAGGACCCCAAGGGATCCTGGAGATGGTTGTCCCTCACCAGACATCCCCCCGGAACCCCCTCCAACACATTTGAGGCCAGGCACTACTAGCCAGCTCCCTGGACTCCTGTCCCATGGCCTCCTGGCTGGACTCTCCTTTGCAGTGGGGTCCTCCTCGGGCCTCTTACCCCTACTACTTCTGCTGCTGCTCCCATTGCTGGCGGCCCAGGGTGGGGGCGGCCTGCAGGCAGCCCTGCTGGCCCTTGAGGTGGGGCTGGTGGGCCTGGGGGCCTCCTACCTACTTCTTTGTACAGCTCTACACCTGCCCCCCAGTCTGTTCCTTCTCCTGGCTCAGGGCACCGCACTGGGGGCCGTCCTCAGTCTGAGCTGGCGCCGAGGCCTCCTGGGTGTCCCTCTGGGCCTTGGGGCTGCCTGGCTCCTCGCCTGGCCAGGCCTGGCTCTACCTCTGGCAGGTCTGGCAGCAGGGGGCAAATGGGTGCGACAGCAGGGCCCCCGGATGCGCCGGGGCATCTCTCGACTCTGGTTGCGGGCTCTGCTGCGCCTATCACCCATGGTCTTCCGGGCCCTGCAGGGCTGCGGGGCTGTGGGGGACCGGGGCCTATTTGCACTGTACCCCAAGACCAACAAGGATGGTTTCCGCAGCCGTATTCCTGTCCCTGGGCCCCGACGGGGTAATCCTCGCACTGCCCGACACCCACTAGCCCTTTTGGCCAGGTTTTGGGCCCTGTGCAAGGGCTGGAACTGGCGCCTGGCCCGGGCCAGCCAAAGTTTAGCCACCCGCCTGCCCCCCTGGGCTGTCCACACACTGGCCAGTTGGGGCCTGCTTCGGGGTGAGCGGCCCAGCCGTATCCCCCGGCTGCTTCCACGCAGCCAGCGCCGGCTGGGCCCTCCTGCCTCCCACCAGCCACCACCAGGGATGCTCGTTGGGCGGAGACCCCGAGCCCGCCAGTCCCGGGCCCTGCCTCCCTGGAGGTGACCAACTCCAGCTCCTCCCCAGCCCGAATCCAGAGCATTGAGCACTTTATCTCCCACTACTCAGTGAAGTTTCTCCATTCCCTGGCCTCTCCTCCCATCCACCCCACACCCTGCACCTCACCTCCAGCCCTTCAGCCTCTAGACAGGCAGCCTCCCCTGCCATGGAGTCCGGAGACGACACTTTGTGTTCTCCTGATACTCCTCCCCACCCTAAGTTATTGCTGTTCTCCCACTGTGTGTGTGCTCATCCTCACCCTCATCGACTCAGGCCTGGGGCCAGGGGTGGCAATGGGTGGGAAGAGTCATGTTTTTTTTTTTTTTTTTTCTCTCTTTGATTTTGTTTTTCTGTCTCCCTTCCAACCTGTCCCCTTTCCCCCACCAAAAAAAGAAAAAGACAAACACAAATAAAATATCTGAGCGGAACTGTACCTTTGGCCCAGGCTGCCTCTGTCTGCTTTGTCCTGCCGCCTAGCCTCCCCGGTATGCCCCCAGTCTGGACCCTTGGCCCCCAGTTCCATGACCTTTTCAACCCATCTACGTTATCTCAACCCCTTTCACTCCTCAGCCTCATCTTCTCTACCCTCATAGCTTCATTGCACCATGACCACTACCAGCTGGGCAGGGCTGGGCCCCTGTTGAGCTGCTTGGTCGCACGGTTCCCCTGTATGTGGATTCCTCCCAGGGAGTGCTCAGGTCCTGGGTCCTTTCATCCTCATTCACTGCCTTTTCTCCCAACCCACTCCCTATGTGGTTCCCATCTGTTTGGGAGCTGAGTTTCTCTCCTGGCATCAGGGCTGGGGGATGGGACTGCAAACCCTCCCCAGTAGGGGGTGGTGAATTTGGGGGCCCAAAAGTGTGGGGGCCGTGGAAATGGGATTGGTTGTGGGCTTGGAGTGGGAGCTGAGTGCACAAGGGCCAGGCTGGACTGTGGAGGTCTGGTCAGGGTGGCAGCTGCTGGCCTGTTGGACTTGTCAGGCCCTTCCTGGCCACCACCTTTGCCCCTTTCCCTTATGTGGCCTGAAACAGGGCCACCCTTTCTTACCCATTTCTTGGCTTGGTGCTTAT